TCAGGAAATGACACACAGGAAGCGCACAATGCAGCTACCGTATCTTCCCTGCTATGTGCTGACATTCAGCACTTTGGTTGTGCAATATGTGACCTATAAATCCTCCACACTTCTGATGGGAGGGAGAGAGAATCTCTTGACCACTGCTTGGGAAAGCAAAATAATTGGATTCCTGCTCCTTATCGCACTCAACACATTACGAGATGTCAAAATTCCCTGCTGCCGGGGCTTGGTCACGTTTCAGTCAAGCAAGAGAGATTTCTTATGACTGGCTGATAGGTGAGACTGTTTTAAATTGTGTTATTGCCAGTCTTTGGTGGCAATGGTGTATGACACGTGCCTTAAGGCCTGTTCACACCGGGACGAATTTCGCGCACGTTATTCGCAGACGTTTAACGCCTCGTGACTAAACAAAGGGCTCCAATGTGAGTGTGTACACCGATGCGTAAAACACCACGTGTAAAAGTGTCATCTTTTTTAAAAACGCCTCGGGTTCGTTTTTTTTAGTAAAAACTATCCGACCAATGAGATTGGCGCTTTGGCTCATGTGTTTGGAGCTTCTGAAGTTACAGTAAAACACAACTTGGGGGCGCTCAAACACAAAACGGTCTTGCCGAGCGCACATATGCAACGGCGAAGAAGATATACGCCAAGTAGTGTCGCCGTCTACACAGCCAGGAAGAAATACGATGAGGAAGATGCAAGGCAAGATGAATGTAGAGCTGCTGGTCTCGTTGGTGCATAAATAACTATGACAAATGCGACAGCGACTACAAACATTTTGATAAAAGAAAACTGATATGGAGTGGTATTGCAGAGCAAATTGGCGCCATCTAATGTAAGGGAATGAATTTGCATGTTCACTCATCTCATCGTCAGCGAAAATCGTTTGGCTGTGAACACAAAAAACGCGTTGAAAAATGCTGACGAATAACGCGCACTGATATTCGTCCCGGTGTGTACGGGCCTTTAGAGTCTTGCATGACGGCATCTGGTGAAACAAACCTTTGAAGTTTCCATATTGACCTTTTTGTCTTATGGGATTGTGGTTTGTTGCTATGACAAAACTGCACTGTCCTTTATTTAAAGGAGATCTCCTCTAATAATCGGTACCTAGTCAATCGTTCTCTGAGATTTGTGTTCATGATAATCGAATGTAAAGAGTTTTATCACTAAAAACTGTTTAGCGTATAACGCTAGTAATGGGGGCATTAACTAAGTAAAAATAAATCGCTACACACCGTTTAATGAGAACATACTTTATAAAGAATCTTCTTAAAGGGGCCATCTTGGAAAACAGTCACAACAAGTCAAACCACGAACGTCGTGCTGAGTTAGCTGAACTGTATGAACGGCGTTCGGGGATCGACTTATCGAGACTGTTTTCCCAAGATGGCTCCTGTCTGTATGCACGAAGTGAACTGTCTTTATAAAGTATCTTCTTATTAAACGGCCTGTACACTTACAAGTTCTCAATGCTTCGTTTTGCATGCATGGACCCTCATTATGTTACTGTGTTAGTGTGGGGCTATTTTGAGCATTGTTAGAGGTATAAACTAGCGATTTCTTTTTACTTAATCAATGCCCCCAGTACTAGCATTATATGCTAAACAGTTTTTAGAGATAAAACTCTTTACATTCGATTATCATTAAAACAAATCTCAGAGAACGATTGACTAGGTACCGATGTTTTATTAGACCAAAGGTTCGTTTTGTGCCGGAGTTCTCCTTTAAGTGGTTTCACTTCATTCCACTTACAGTAAGTGGTGAAATTGTCTATGACTCTCTACAATGATGTGGAATAGATCGCAAACCCTGTCTGACCCTTGAAAACAGGTCCACTTAAGTGGGTGATTGAAACCCTGGCCACAAGATGATTGTATGAAGAAATGTGACTGACAACTGAGTTTCATGTTTTTCCATTTTTCTCAGGTTGCTGTTTAGTTATGGCTGGGGCCACCAAATGATAATGCCTCTGTTATCTGTCCTGAGTCAAAGGAGCCAGATGATCTCCCAATGATAACCATGTGCCTAGATAAGACTGAGGAGCCTTTGGGGTCCATACCCTCAATCAAAATGACCCACCTCCATGTACCTAAATAGGAATGAGGCCTCTTTACATTGTTTGGAGTCAAAATAGCCCATCTCCATGTTTCTATGATAATCATGTGCCTAAATGTGACTGAGACCTTGAGGGGCATTTGGGGTCCCTACCCTCAATCAAAATGACAAACCCCCAAGTTTATATAATATTCTGGTTCCTAGATAGGTCTGGAGCCCCAGATTCCTCTATAAACTGCCCTGTGCCAAGAGCTCATTCCAGTGTTTCTACAAAAATCAGGTGCCTAGACATGACAGGGGTCCTATATGGGATCTCTGTACACTGCTTTCATAGAAATATGACTCGCACCGATGTTATATAATACTCTAGCGCCTAGATAGGACTGGGGCACACATGTGTCTCTGTACACTACCCTTGGGCAAAAAAGCTAACTCCCATGTTTCTATAAACATCAGGGGTCTCATTTATAAAGCGTGCGTACGCACAAAACGGGGCTGGAAACGTACGTACACCAGTTTCCACGCAAAGGTTGATCTATAAAAAACAAACTTGACGGGAGAATGTGCGCACCTTTAAGCAAACTTTGAGCCGTGCGTACGCACATTCTGGAAACAAAGGGAACTGGCGACACCGATGGTGAGCTGGAGTTAAATGTCTTTTTGGACACTTTTAGACCGGAAATCTAAAGAAAATTATAGCCTATAGGCTACAGAAAGATAATAGCCTACAAATATAATTTCACTAACCAAGCCAATCACTTGAAGCCAATATCCATCCCTTCTTAAATATATACGCGCATATAGCCTATAATCTAACGGCAGATGAAGTAAAACCGTAATGAGTCCTGATAAATACAGTGTGTGTGCTCAATAACAGTTCAAATAAATGAAAGACGTATTTCAACTATCTTTTACTTCTGATATAAACATTTAGATTAAATATGCCATTCTCATTAATGGAGTTAAACAATTAAACTACATGAAATCATTACTGAGAAGTTACAAAAATTATATTCAATAAATAAAAATATATATGTGTTGTGGATGCAGTGCTTTTGAACACTTTCCCTCTGGTATGCTGTGTTTTAATGTTTTATCTAGAGATAATTTCTAATCGTGATAATAGCAGATTTTCTGAGAAAATAGATCCACGCAAATAATGCACAACCATGTCTATCTGTTTCCATTAGCAATATAAATTAATTAAAAATACTATTTGGCCAGTGGAAAAGATTGAGAAAATCTTTCTCTGAAATGTATTTTACACTATTTGATTTATTCATTCAAAAACAAGGCAAGGATATAGGCTCCTAAAAAATTATAATAATAATAACTTATTGTGACACGGCACATCTGTATTTCATATTTTCCGAACGTCTTGTACCTTAACATGGTATCACGTGGATGAATAATCATATGCAAATGATATGCAGATGAGGATATGCATATTTAAACTAGGCGTTGTAAGCTCCATATATGGTCATTTCGGGGAGGAGATGGACGTGCGCACAATCTTCGGCTGACAGGGATTTATAAAGTGAATTCTACAAAGGTTCTGGCATACGAACGGTTTTATAAATCTGATTTTTTTTTTTTTTTTTTTTTTGGCGTACGCCATTTTTGGCTTTCGGGCGCACGTACACTTTTAGAAAGGATCCTACGCACAGTTTTGAAACCCCAGGTGCCTAGATATGACTGGGCCCTCATATATGATCTCTGTACACCACTCTCAATCAAAATGACCCACCCTCGAGTTACTATAATATTCTGGTGCCTGGCTGGGTCTGGGGCCCCCAAGTGCCTCTGTACACTACGCTTGGGCAAAATAGCTCACTACCATGTTTCTATAAACATCAGGTGCCTCGATAAAACAAGATCTCTGTACACTACCCTCAATCAAAAAGACCAACCCCAAGGTTTCCATAATATTCTGGAGCCTAGATATATGGCAGGGGCCCCTAGGTGCCCCTGCACACTCTCCTGAGTCAAAAGAGCTCACTCTCATGTGTCTAGATATGGCCGTGGCCCCATACATCTAGTCAAATATATGTATACAGAGTGATATAAGACATGCAGTATAGAGACAAACAGACGTGTACAAGAAAACACCAGTGTAATACAATAACAAATATATATATATTTTTTTCTTTTTGGATGCATATTTTAATGTTAATGAACATTTCACTTAGATTCATGATATTGAATAAATGTTATTCCTATTTTCAATTCATTTTCCAGAGTTTGGGAATGGTATGTTCAACATGTTCGAAATGTACTTGTGTTCTACGGCTTTGTTTCTTGAAGAGTCATTATAATTTTCCTCATAACTTAGTCAAAATGCAAAATTTAATCAAAATTTGCTTTTGTTATTATCCTCCTAACTGAAAGAGACAGAACTAGAAAAATTGTTGCATGTCCTTCTCTGAATCCTCACAAGCCATGGACCAATCATATGACCTATGGCGATTACCCTTTCTTTTTTTATTTAGTTTTTTTTTTTTTTTTTTTTTACTTTTGTCAGCTCATTAAAGTTATTGATCATTAGGGGATTCTGGGAAAGGTGGGATGCAATTATGAGTCCAGGCAGTTTGTCAATTCCCCACAGTCTGGATTGAGCCCAGCAGAGTCCCTAATAGGAACCTGCAGTGTTAACAACACACACGCACATGTGGGTATAGACTACAGGGAATCACAATTTGGTTTGTCAACACCTCAACTGCCACCAAGACCAGAAGCATGTTCTATCCAGGACACAAACAACTCAGAAATCGCCTTGTACGTACTTAGCCTTTACATTGACTTATACTTCAGGCCTTAGAATCACTCCATCTTTTTATTTCAACCCTCTCCTCAACTTTCTTCTAACAAGAAAGAACCATGTATGTGTGAATTGTGAATGTTGAAGCTAGATTTACATGATTTTTGTTTCTACCTTTCAGAGAAAATGAACATGTTGTCTGCACTGATCGCCCCCTTCAAGTACGTGAGCCCGGCGGCCAATGGCACAGAAGACGAGGACACATTGAGTCAGTATGGTTTAAATACTACATTTTAATTTCAGAAATGAATTTGCTCAATGTACTCAAGTCTTAAAGTGGTTCTAGAAGAGAGGAAGATAGTCAGTACTGAAAAACATTGCAGTCCTTTTTCTCACAATTTAGGCTTGCATCCATGTGTTGAAGTTTATTTTCACAGATGAATTTCATTTGGTTCCATCACAACACAGTTGGGGTGTGAAATGGAGGCTTTAATGAGTGATCAGACTTTCACACACTGAAATCTCATAACGGTCTGCTCTCCTGCATTACGAAACAGTTTCTCCTTTGCATTGTATATGGCGAGATGATTTGTGCCCACTTTAAGTAAGGACTCCAAGCCAATTTTGTGGGAGATTACAGAGCGATTTGCCAGATAATGCCCCATTTTAGAGGATTTGTCCTCCGATTTTTACAACAGTTATGTAAGGCAGGCTTTCTCGTATGGAACAGTTAGGAGCGACTGCTTTGGGAATGGTAATGACATGTTTTAACATCAACTTGAATGTGAAACGCCAGACTTTTACATCAAGGAAGTAGAAGATGGTCTCTGTAGCAGTTGTTGCGTTTTTGTTACCTTCTTGTTAATACATAATTTCTGCTTCCAACCTAGGCACCAGCAGTGCTGAGGTCAAGGAGAACCGTAACACGGGAAACCTGGAGGATTGCGCCATCGTTCCGTCAGACTGCCAATCACTCTTCCGGTCCGATTCGCCCAGGGACGGAGCATCCGGCCTCAAGCGAAAGCGACCTTTGGAGGAGGACAATAACGGACATTTGCGCAAGCTGCGTCTGTACTGCAAGAAACTGGCATGGTCCGATGCACCAAAGAATGCCCTGGTCCAGTTGAACGAGCTGAGACCGGGTCTACAGTACCGGATGGTCTCTCAGACAGGACCAGTGCACGCGCCCGTCTTTTCCATTGCCGTAGAAGTCAACGGACTCACGTTCGAGGGCACCGGCCCTACGAAGAAGAAGGCTAAGATGAAGGCAGCCGAAATGGCCCTGAAGTCGTTCATCCAATTTCCCAATGCCTCTCAAGCTCACTCGGCCATGGGCGGCCTGAGCAACCCCGCGGCCGACTTCACCTCGGACCAGGCCGATTTCCCAGACACGCTGTTCAAAGGCTTCGAGGCCGACGGCTGCCGCTCTGCCGAGAGCGACTTGCTGTCGAGCGCCCTCCGCTTGCGCCACACGTTGGACTTGATGGTTGTGCAGGCCAGGCAGGGAGATCCCCGCCTTACCCCACCTCCGGTCCCCACGCCCCAACCCAGCCCCGTCGTCCTGCTCAATGACATGCGGCCCGGCTTGCGGTACGCTTGCCTGTCGGAGCACGCCCAGGGCAAACGGGCGCACCGCAGCTTCGTCATGGCCGTTCGAGTGGACGGCTTAATATTCGAGGGCTCGGGTCGCAGCAAGAAGCAAGCGAAGAGGCAGGCGGCTCTGTGTGCCCTGCAGGCGCTCTTCAACTTCAGGCTGGCACCTGAGGCGAGAGCGGGACACCGGCCCAGTAGGATCAAATGCCCTCATTTGCCCCAGGTGAGTGTGCCAGTCCAGCCGCTGGCAGGCCACCCGTTCCATACGGCGGGCCTTAATAACCAAAGCAGCGGGAATGCTGGGATACAGAACAGCCAGCCAAGACTTAATTAAGAGGGAGGAGATAATGTTTGGGGAGGCATGGGGCAGTGCAGATGGATTATCGGGGAGAGGTTAGGCTAAATCGCAGCGCAAAGGGTTGAAGCGTTTATGTTAGCACACAGGCTTTAACATTTACTTTGGGCAGGACAGGGTGGCATATCTAGTGTAAACACACACACACACGTGTGTACTTAGGAAAGCAAAAGGGCCGGGGGTAAACAGAATCTGTTCACAGATCTATTCAGACGGAAAAAGGATGTAAATGAGGCAAATTATCATTCGGGAACCTCTGACTCCAGAGAGAAAGTCGATGCGCCAACAAATGAGTTTTCTTTCTTTTCTTTTCTACTTTCCATGTGTTTATAGAGCTAAATTGCAAAAGTATTGTTATTTTTCACAATCTCTAGTTTCCTCATGTATGACATGGCAGTGTCTATAAACATTAATTCAATCTGTTGCCCAAAGGAGATTGAAAAAAGCACAGAGCAAATCGACAAACAATCCTCAGACCCATTCTTCTGTTATTTAGTCAAATATGTAAATAGCAATCAGACTAGGGAAATAGTGTGTTTTTATTTATTTATTTTTTTATAGAGGACTCAAAAATGTGTGTTTGAGTCAAAATGTAATCCACTGTAAAAAAATATTTTCACGATTTGTAATCACAACATTTTGTCTTTTGTCAAATCAACTTAGATCATTTATGTAGTTCAGTTACAAAATATTTTGAGTTTCTAATGATTAAATTCATTAAGTCATTTTTTCAATTTCAATGAACTTAAAATTTTGAAGCAACCAGGTTACTTATTTTTTTTAAGTTATATCAACAATACTTTTATCTATTTTAAATTTGAATTACATGATACTATATGTATATATAGTCACATACTGTATCTGTCCCTGCCGTTTTACCATGTTTTTTTTTTTTTAGAATCGCTCACAAATGAATGCAGCTTATCAGTTTATTGTGTAGTATTTATAACTTTTTTTTTCCCCTCCTCAAGTATGTGCATGTGTATATGTGTGTATGTCTGCATCAGTTCTCGTATGTGTGTGTGTGTGTGTTTCTTGCGCTGTATTAGTATTCAGCCCCCTTCCTGCACAGAGCCGACAGGGAGAATGTTGTCTTTCCTCTCCTACTACAGCAGCCAAACAACCTGCACATGTTTGCCGGGGAGAAACTTCTCCTTTCTCCTGCTCTCTACGCTCTTTAAAAGGATTTCTAAGAGGATTTGCCTCACTAGTTTAGTTCCAGAAATGCACTTCCTTGTGGAAATTCTTGAAAGTCAGACTACAGCGTTTGCTATCGAGTCTCTTAGAAATGATGATGGAAACGTGCTTGTGGAATTAAAAATGTTCCTCCTTTTCCAACGCAGAATCATCCAGGATCATCTGGCCAGTGGAGCATTAATTTGTGCATGTGTGTTTGAGCTTGTATGGCGGGTCCTCAGTAGTCTGGAGATCTGAGGGTTGGATGGCGCTCAAACCTCTGCCTGTAGGGTGTCTTGCTGTGCCGCAGGGCCATGCTGATAGCAACCGCCGCCAGCTCCGCCGCTGTCACACTGCTCTCAAGACCACAGATTCTTCTCTTTCTTTCTGAAGCAACTGTGGCTTCCTTTCACAACATTCGTTGCAGCAACTAGTAGCAGCAGCTTTTCTATAACGAGTATAGAAGGATCATTTTTTTGCCCATAAGTTGTCTTCTGAATTTATTTTAACATTTTCATCTTATACTACTGCGCTCTGTATGTATATATACAGTATATATTAGGGCTGTGCAAAAATGAATTGCGATTAATCGCATCCAAAATAAAAGTCTGTGTTTACGTAATATATTTGTGTGTGCTGGATATAATTATTTTGTATATATAAATAACTATGCATGCATATATATTTAAGAATTATTTGCACTTAAATTCTGTGTATATATATATATATATATATATATATATACATAATCTATATTATATAAATATAAATATTTTATAAATGAATAACACATTTTCTTAAATATATACATGCATGTGTGTGTATTTATATATATACAAAATAATTATTTACAGCACACACATATATTATGTAAACAGAAACACAGACTTTTATTTTGGATGTGATTAATCACAATTAATTTTTGCACAGCCCTAATATATATATATATATATATATATAATATATATTACATATAATATATATATATACATTTATATTATTATGCTGATATTATGTTGATTAATAATCATAATTTTTGTTGTTATTAAGATAATATGAATAATAATAATACAATTAAGAAAGAATTTTAATAAAACTGACACAAACATGCAACCTCAACATCAAAATAAAAATATATATATTATGGATTATACAAATTAAAAATGACTGCATTACAGTAATTGGAGTATATTCCTATCACAACTTATAATAATAACGCAAATTAAATAAACTGCATGGAGTTGATTTTTAAGAACCCACACTAAATGAAATAGGCCTACAGTATAATTTAATAAAATGTATCAATAATAATAATAAACAGAGGAAATCAATCTAACTAATAAACTTCACATTTGACTTTGTGGCCTAGACCTTTGATTAATTTAGCCTAGACCCTGATCCAGAGGCACTTTAGCAATGAGGATTTGGAAAAAATTGAGAATCAAATATGAGATGAATAATTGGTTAAAATGGATTCCTTTAAGGCCGCAATGAAACAAACTATCTCGGAAGAAAGAAAGAGTGACAGAGCGAGAGAGTGAGACAAGGGTCACCTTTGGTGTGGAATGGAAGGTCGGGGAGACTCCGGTGGGCGACAGGCGTTTCTGGCACAGATGGAATATTTTGCAGGAATGGCCGGCCGTAGCCGTGTGATGCCTCAGGCAAATATGAACAATAACTTGCAGGCTACCCTTCTCCACCACATCTTAAATGAAAAATTGAACCATCATCCAGGCTCCATGCCTTGTTGCCCATATTCCTATGCCTCTTCACATCTCTAAATAATGACACACTCACACACATGCACACACACTCCCTGCAGGGATTTACCTTCGTGCTCTGCGAAACTCAATATAACATTGAAGCGGTAATATGAGAGCCAGGTACGAAGCAAGATAAGTCACCCCAAAAATATCCATCGATCGTGGGATCACAGTCTCCGGGTGTTTTTCAAAAGTAAAAGGACGCATAGGAAATTTGCAAAACCTTCTCACCTGAACACTTTGTCTGCGCGTCACCAGTTTCACGTTTTTGTCAACATTCCTCTGTTCTATAAGTATATGAATGCGGGACAAACTGATTTGGCATCAGGAGTCTGCCCACGTTATAAGGTAGAATGATTGCAGTGCATGGTTAGGTTGATTGGCCACTTAATCTCTCAGCGCAGTCACAAATATCTGCAGCGTTGCCAAGTCAACACACACATCCTGCTAAGAAGGAAAAAGCCTGAGTCTCATGCAGGTCCCGACCGTGTCACTAGTATAGTTAACCAGGGTATTTGACTGCAGAAATGACCTCAGCATGCTGCTAAATATCAATCGCTGCCTAATCATGAGGTTTGACTTCCAGTTATGTGCCTGAATTCTGCTGCTAGTATTTAAAAGTGAAGGGTTATAGAGATTGAGCTCATAGAGGGTGTGAAAGGAGAGGGATTTAAAAAGGCAGGGTCGGGGAAAAAGGGGGGATCGTAAAAGGTGGAGTGAGATAGGTGAGTGGGTGTGATAGAGGAACAGAAAGGGGCAGGAGTGTTAATCGGCTGGGTCTTGAAAGGGAGGGGAAATATTACAGAATGAGTTCAGAAAGGGGAAGGCAGAGTTTAAGAATGTGGTCAGAAGGAGGGAAAGTCAAGAAGAGGAGTTTGAATTAGGGGTCGACCGATATGTGATTTTCAGGGCCGATGCCGATACCGATTATTACAGATCAAATAGGCCAATAACCGATATTTTGAACCGATATATATATATATATATATATATATATATATATATTATATTTTAGCCTATGTCTGGTGTAAAACTGTAAATTAATGTCAAAATTAAGTTGACAAATATTTTCTTTAAATGATTTTAAACATATCTTTGAATATGAGAACTGTTATTAATAATAATAATAATAATAAAAACAAAGTGCAGGGAGCACCCAGCAGCATTTTGTAAACATTTTGTAAAACTTAAAGACTATATTTTAATGTTTAAATAAAATTTTAGTAATCAAAAGGCATTTCTAATTCATTAAAATCATTAAACTTATTCAATTTATTTACAGTTTAACAAAAAATACATTTTTAGGGCTTTGTGAAAAACCGAACTTTTATTTTGACGGGTAGCCGTGGAGATCTTTGAGTTTCCGTTTGTCTATGATGTGATGATAACTTTTCTCAGTTGAAGCATTAAAAAGCTCATGAAGTGACTAAGCGAGCGACTCTGGAGATGTCCTCATATAATGATCCGGATGAGGCTGAAAACAGCGCAAGCGTCACGCGTGCTCCAGTGTGTGTTATGTGTGTGTGTGTGGTAAATGAAATCACGCGTCAGCGCCATTCATTTAGAGACACGCAGGATTAATATTTAAATAGTCTTTTTGCGGTTTGATTTGTACTGACCTGCTTTTTATTAATTCATCAAAGTTGACAAATTCCGTGATATTCCGCTTTATATAGTAAATTCTGTTTTTATGACTGGAGTCCGCGTTTCCGTCTGTTTACTGCATCGCGGAAATCACAGGGCTGTATTATATTGAAGTATTTTGCAACTTCAGTGTATTGCAATGCTTCTTCAGCAAAATCTGCTGCTGCCTTAACTTTGAGAGACAACTGATGCCTGGCTTTGAGAGACAACTGATCCGTGAAGCAGCTCCAGTCAGCGAGTGCTCTCGGTCTCGGTGTGAGTGCAAAACTTTCAGTGCCTTCAGCT